ATATAGGGGCTGTAAAGGTGCTTTTAGGGGGGTAATATGGGGAGCGTAGGGATTATGTGGCTAGTCTTACTTTTTGGAAGTATGGCATTCTGTTGTGTTGAGGTGGCGCAGGGTGTTTAGCAGAACAGTACTAGTAATCGTATTTGTAAGCAATGCTAATTCCAATAGAAATACGCGTGGTAATAGTGAGCTCAGCCATCAGCAATGACTCTGACTATTTCTTTGCTGCTCGTCTGACATTACTGTGACTAATTCCCACGGCCATGACTACCAGGTTACTTCTACCTTTGCAATGACGACCGTTATCGTTGCCGTGATCATGAGTCCTGTGCTTGCATGTCTCCATTACTTGTCAGATGAGCTATAGTCTAAAGTCTTGAAAGGCTCGTTAAATAGGGGATTATACACGGGACCATTATTGTGCTCATTAAAGGGGATACTAGGAGTTTAGACTGTACCTCATATTACCATCACTAAGTACAACTCCTGTTGCCCTGGCTGCGCTTGTAGATTTTTTCCCACTACCACCAAGGATTGCAAGATTGCATCCCTCGCGCTGCCCAAGAACAACTGTTTATTAAGCTCGGGTACTGCCGCCACCCTGTAACAGTTGGACAATATCATAATATAGGTATATAGCCCTTGATATGACCCCTAATATAGACTGTTACGGGGTGGGGGCAGTACCCAGTATTAAGCGTCATGTTGGTCAGCGGGCCTAGATTGCTACGAAGTACGGATCCAAGCCCAACACACACCCCAAGTGCGCCTCCACACCTTTCTAGCTTCAGAAGCTGATGGCAGAAAAGAAGGAAACCCTAAACCCTAGACCCCAAACCCCCAACCCTAAACCCTAAACCCCAAGCCCCAAACCCTAAACCCCAAGCCCCAAACCCTAACCCCAGCTCCATCATCATTCCTAGGACTCTGTAGTGCCTTCTGAAGTCACTCGCGCACTCCCCGGCACCTTGTGCATACTTTCTCGAGCACCCCGCCAATGTCTTGGTTTAGGGTTTAGGGTATGGGGCCCTGTCTAAGGTTGAAGGCTGCTTGGTTGTGGAGGTATTCCTCATTATCCTTGTAAAGATGAGGGTGTAGGGTTTAGGGTTAAGGGTTATTTAGAATAGGGTTATTTAGAATGATATACCCGCAAAGCTTAAACCCCAGTGCATCTGAGTTTCATAGAGGAATCTCCCTGCAATCCCCGTACCCTACGTCGAGAAAATCCCCATTAGACACAGTAGAAGACATCCCACATCCTGGTCTGATTGTAAAACCTTGAACAGGTGTAGCGGGACGCTTGACCTAGCATCATTTGGCACACAAAAGCGCCGAATGGTGTTGAACCCAAACATATACAGTTGCTGGAGGGGAGTGGTGGAGCGAATAAGTAATAGTATAACTGGTTACATGAACATGATGATAAAGAATCCACCACCCACTCCCCCTTGAACATCAGCCCTAGGCCCTGAGCACCCTAAACTCCTGCACATCCCTATGTCCTCTTCAAAAGGGGGATCCCTAAGCCCCAAGCCCTAAGGATGCACCCCCAGCCCGCTTGAAGCCGTACTACGCCAAAGGCGGGCCGCGGATCTACTTCAGTGGTGGAGTTGGAGATCCTGCGACCTGAGCCTACATAGGGGCAGGTTTGAACTAATTTTCTGAAATTCTATTACCTTTCATCCCTATAGAATCCTAATAAAGCCAACAAATTTCCATCTATGAGCCCCCCGTAACCTACCCTACTACAGTGGAGGTGGCTTTGGAAGGAACATGGAAGACGTAATGGAAACTACTTAGGGCCATGGGTAGGGCTTAGGGCTTAGGGTTTAGGGTTGAGGGCTTCGGGCGTAGGGGGTTGCCATAAACGGAGAATCATACGGAAAACAAAATGGAAGATGAGGTAGAAGTTGAGGGTTCGGCGAGTTTGAGAGTTTTGTGTGGGACACTGGCTTCATTGTTGAATGCATGATAGGGGTTTCTCAAAATCAGGGGTACCCTTTTGGTGGTTTCCCTGTGGTACGGATTAGAGTGTTTATGGGGTCACCCCTAGTTGTGGAAAGTACTTTGCACGTGAAATTATGCGGGTTGTCTGTTCAATGCATCCGATAGCGTGGCAAGCTGGCCGGGAACTCAAAAGTTACTTAAGGGCTATATTGGGGATATATTGGGGATAATGGAAAATAATACGGAAACTACTAGGGTTTATAGGGGGTTATATAAACGAAGAGCTGTACGCCTTGGCGAGAGTAGAGGGGGTACTACCATTGTACTGGGCATCATTTTTGTCCACGTTTTGCCTTACTGCGCGGCCACCATTGTCAGCACATGACAGCACTCAGTCACAATGTACTTTCTGATGCTTTCTTCAACTGTCTGTGCAGTTTGCTATGTCTGGGGGTTGCTGAGTCTGCTTCGTCTCCTCGTATCAGTAATGGTTGCTGTGACGGCTACCACCAATCCTCTTGCTTGCCTCCCCAAACCCGAGACCCCATGACCACTAGACCCTAATCCGAGCATCAGAATTAAACAGGGTACCATATTTAAAGAAAATATTTTTTGAAAAATTGCCCGTCCAAGACTAAATTTCAAGTAGGTGGAACTTCATATGGGGAAAAGGGACTAGATTTTAATTTTTTTTTGGTGGACCAATCCTGAAAATCGAGATATTCAATGCATTCCTATTCATTTTTTTAATTGGTAGAGGTCCAAGAGCCCCG